ATGTAATGTGTGCCTCACACAGATTCCCCTTCACTTGTCCTTTGCCTTTGTTGAGTCCACTAAAGTTTTCTAGTACTCCATCATCAAAAATACTGCATCATTTTCATTCCAGTGATGTGCACACACTCGGTTTTGCTGCTCTTAGCCCCTTGACGCTGAGCGCATGCAAATATGCGGCCTCCTGGCATCTGGGCCTTGACACCGAGCGCATGCAAATATGTGGCCTCCCAGCATCTGGGCCTTGACGCCTAGCGGCCGCATATTTGCATATAATTAGAAAATACATATGTGCTGAGAGCGCACACAGTGCGTGCTCCCAGCACACATGTCCGTGACTCACGGAAAATTCCCGATCTCCCCTTTCGATCGGGACCTTTTCCGATCATGTGATGGCGAATCCTGGGCGGTCACATGACCCTAAAACCCCGCCTCCCGGCTTCTGAAACTCTTAAAGGACTGGGAGGCGCCAGCTTGAAGTGGTTAAACAATATAGGTGAAACCTATTGAATACATGTGGAAGCTCAGTACTGATTGAAACCACCTATAGGGTCTTTCACATGGGCGTTCCGTGTTTTTTTTTTTTTTTTTTTTTTTTTTTTCCCCATCAGTTCAGTCATGTTTTTTCCAAGAAGAAATGGATCGGTTCACATTGCTTTTCATCGGTTCACATTGCTTTTCATCGGTTCACGTCTGTTTTTTTTTTTTACATCCTTTACCAATACAAAAAGGGACCATATGTCCGATTACATCCGTTTTTTTTTTTGCCCGTCCTGGGTTTTTTACAGAAGAAAAATAGGGGTTTTTTCCGTTCAAAAAAATGGATGTTAACGGATGCGAACATTAACAGATGTAAACGTATGATCATCTGTTTACATCCGCTAGCCCATAGAAATATATTGGTGTCTGTTTTTCATCCATTAACAGACAGAAAGTGTGAAAGAGCCCATATACCCATCATCAAACTAATCATGTTAAAACTCTTCAGTTCTTTGTATCTTATGTTCCAAAAGCCAGTTGTGACTGAGGTGTGATAAACTACACTTCTTCAAGTACAAAAAAAAAAACTTTAATTATAACAACATAGTATCAAGGTGTATGACATTGTATCAAAAAGGACTTTCCAGGAGCTTCATTTTAATATGGCATTTTGTTACTTATTTTAATTTGAGTTTTTGTGCTAGAAGGGTAGTTTTACACCTTTTAGAGTCTCAATTGTTTTGACACATAGGATACAAAGAATTGCAGTTTGTACACTAATAAATGGATTATGGGTATACAGGAGGTTTTGTTTTATTGTGCTTTTCCATATATTTTAACAAAGTTCTATGGTAAATAAAACGGCAGTACACCTAGAAAGGCAGATCCCTCTCCTATTTTCAGTAGACTGAGATATGTATTGACAAAGGGAGGCTGTGATTGGTCACCCTTTAGATGTTCTTATATGTCAGAGAATGTTTGTCTGTAATGTCAAAAATGTGGCCAGATTGCTCTCTACTGATGATTCAAACATAATGCTCGATCTACAAAGCTATAATATAAGGATCTTTATTTTGACTTTTTTTTTTTTTTTTTTTTTTCGTTAGTAAATCTTATGGAACTCAGTTGTTAGTTTTAGGAAAAAAGTATGTTTTTGTTTGTTATTTTTTTCTATGTGTTGTAGCCTTGTGAATTGAGTATAAACCCGGTGCATTTTCTATAGTTATAAAGTGAAATATTATTATTATACAGTATATAGAGCCAACAGTTTGCTCAGCGCTGTACGTTACAGTGGGGGACAATACATGAGACAGTACAATAACAATACAGTGCGAAACACGAGGGGTTCGAGTGCCCTGCTCCTTGGAACTTACAATCTAGGAGGGAGGGGAGAAAAATCTGTGGGGGATGGGAGTGGTAGGAAGAGTGGATAAAGGAGAGAAGAGTGGGTGATAGTCTGATGGATTGGGGAAGGGAGTTCCAGAGGATGAGTGATGCCCTGGATATTTTGGTAGTGTCATAAGTATCTGGACACCAATATAGGGAATGTAATTTTTAGGATGAATAAGGCTGATTAAACCTTGTCCTTAGATAAAAGCCATGTTTAGTTGCTCATTAGTGTTTCTTACTTGTTCAGACTTAAGCTGGCCATAGATTGAAATTCGTTTGGTTCAGCAGTGAGTGGCCAAATTTCAATCTGTGTGTGGTCATCCCTATTCAGAAGTCTGATATTAGATCAACTAATGCCAATAGACAAACTGAGAAAACCTTTATCAATCAGTGGCTGCAGCTGCTGGTCAGTGTATTCTGACAGGGGAAAGTCTGGCTATCAGAATATAATGTCCAGGGGGAGGGATTCCTTCCACACCATGTTTTGTGTGGATGGAGAAATCTGTGTCCTTCCCCTTTTTTATTTTTTTTTTTTTTCTTCAGCCCTCTGACTGATGGGGTAAAGTGAACCATCTTTGGCCAGCTTAAAGTGGTTATAAAGCCTAAACATGTTTTACCTTTGTGTGTTCCTTGTAATAAAGTAAATGTTTTAGGCATCAGTATCCCACTCACCGGGGTGTCGGTGGGGTGGGGAGGGGGGTTGTGAGGCCAAGTCCCACTGTCTGTGTTAACAGATGCAGACAGTGAGGCTTGGGAGCTAGCCCACTCAAGTGCCCTCATAGAAAGCCACTTTCTATGGGGCCCTCTGCGTAGGGGAGGAGCTAGGATCCAAGATGAGGAGCGGGATCCAAGATGAGGTGGTTTGCGGCCACTCTGTGCAATTCCATTGCACAAAGCAGTTCATTATAAACTTGGTTGTTGTTTAAAAAAAAAAAAAAACACATTTACAATCAGTTTCACGTCCATATTGAATTGGTTGTAGATAATGAGCATGTCTGTCATATGTATATGCTCAATATATAGTATGATGGCTTCATCTTGTCCCAACAAGTTTGACTGGGTAGTGAATGTTCGCAGCAGTCAGATTTGGGTAGTCAAAGTGAGACTTAGGCTCCATGCACACGGGGCGTTTTAATAACGCTGGTAACATTAGCTGTGTAAAGTCACATTAAAAGCCAGAGTTTCTCAGCAATTCTTTTAGTTAAGCATTTTTGTATTGGCGTTTAGCCACGTTTCACATTTTTTCTCATTTGCAGTTTTTCGCATTTCTTAGATTTATTTTGGCCCAAACAAAAATATTTTTTGGTAAAAACACTGGTTTACTGCATTTTGCCGTGTTTTTCAGCATTATTATTATTATACATTAGATCGTTTTAACATATAAAGAAACTCCTCTGGAAACCCGCTACTCCTGGGTCTTATTTCCAGCCAAAAAATGCTGATTACAGTCTATGTTGTAAAGCGCTGAGCAAACTGTTGGCGCTATATAAATCCTGTATAATAATATGTGTGCATGGACACACAGGATAACATGCTGGGGAGTTTACTGGCTGTAGAAAAAAACGTCAAAAGCCAAAAACAGCCGCTGTAAAAACGTCCAGTGTGCAGGAGGACTTGTGTTTGATCTGTTATCAGTGTTTGCGCTTGGATGGTTGCGTTTACTTTTGTTAGGCAGTCTGGATGTTTTGTTTGGTTATGGCCTATTTAGCTGAGGTATGGTTGCCCTTTCTGCTTCCTATGTTATATTTGTAGAAAGTGTAGCACTATGGATAAGAAATGCTAGAAGTGCTCTGTAGCTGCCTCTCCTTCTGATGTAGATATGTAGGAAATTCCCGATTTTGTGTTTTCAAAATCCCCCTTTTTGTGCATCCACCTCATATCTTTCAAGTGTTCACACAAATCTGGACTTTCCAAACGTTCCTGGAGTTTCCAGCTAATGTCAGTCTCTAAAGATAGATGTCAGGATGGTATCCAGTGTCTAAACACTAAATGACATTTCCCATTTGCTACTTGAAGTTCTCTGGTGATTGTAATGGGTTGCATCAGCAAGTTTTACAAAGTGATCTGGATGTGTCATCCTTGGACAATGTTGTGCTCTCAATGAGTCAGTTTAAAAGCTTGGCTTGGCAGTCATATGCAGTGCTCTTAGGTGAGTACATATCTGTCGTGATCACAGCAGCACTCCTCACCAAGGAATCCGGTGAGAAGGTGAGCGTTTTGGCTAGACCTCTCTGTAAGATAAGTCCATTCTTGCATTAAAATGACAGCATGCCATTTGCCTGTCCTAGGAGGGTTCAACTTTGGCAAAATTCCATAATATATTTAATAAAGCTTGCCTATGATTATGCAAACTGTACGTTTTCAGTGCTTTAGATGTCTAAATACTTGCAAGTTTCCATTATGTTAGCACTTATCTTGACATGTACAGCAAATTTAACTTTTTTTTTTTTTTTCTGGGGGGGGGGGGGGGGGGGTTTATCCATGTTTGGTCACTGGTTTCACTTTAGGAGAACTGTTGAACAGTCTAAAGGTGGAGAAGGTCTCAATATTGTTCATACAATACTCAATTGAATAATCAGGTCAGTGAACTTGACAGACTGCAGTCAAGGATTGGCAGGGATTTATGAGAGATAAGGGTTTGATATAGATGGCTCAGTGTGTACAAAGGGAACTTTTATACTTCCCTCATGTTCTTTAACCAGAAGAATGCAACATATACATTCATAGAAAAGAATTGGATGGATCTGTTCAGTTGCAGCAAGTAGTATTAACACTGCCTCCTATAATTGAAATTTGATTTACTAGCACTGTAAGGGTAGGTAGTTGTGACTGTTTATTACTCCGAAAATGACTTGGCAATATAACAAAGTGAAAGCTGTTGTGGTCTTGAATAGAATTTTCTGCAGTAGATTTAGCTGAGCAGCTGAGTCTGGCAAGTCCTCTCTTGGTCATTGTTTCAAACAGGAATCAAATTAACATAAGAAGTAAAGTAAGACTTTTGATTTTGTTAAAATCCTGTGTTATTGGCCTCCGAGTTTATTGCTCTGTGCTTTCTTCTGTGCGATGCTGAAATATTTGGAATTAATTTACAATTGGTAATTTTATTTGTTTTCAGATCACTACAAAGTGTAAAGATGTTATCCCGATTGTTCCGCATGCATGGCCAGTTCGTGGCTTCCCATCCATGGGAGGTCATCGTGGGTACAGTGACTATCACCATCTGCATGATGTCCATGAACATGTTCACCGGGAATGATAAAATCTGTGGATGGAACTACGAGTGCCCAAAGTTTGATGAAGTAAGTTCAGGAAGATCTTTCTCTAGTCATCATATCTGCTTATAACTTACTGTCTTCATTTTATCATTGTAATTAAGTTGGGGTTCTTTCTGTTGGCATGTTTTGGTAGTGCGCTTTGGAAAAACTGCTATCCCTTTATTGAATATTGTAGGCTTTTTATTGAATTAGAACACTTTGGGGTCTATTTACTAAAACTGGAGAATGCAGAATCTGGTGCAGCTCTGCATAGAAACCAATCAGCTTCCAGGTTTTATTGCCAAAGCTTAATTGAACACGATGAAGTGAGAAGCTGATTGGCTACCATGCACAGCTGCACCAGATTCTGAGTACTCCAGTTTTATTAAATCTATCCCTGTCTCTAACATACAGAACACATGAGAGATAAAATGCACTTATTGCCCATAGTGACCATTTTCTTCCACATTTTAGAAATGGCCCTCAAAATATCATTTCCTGGAGAGCAAAGCTGACTTATAAAAAAAAAAAAAAAAAACATGTTATTTACTGCCTGTAATTTTTTGTTTTTCTAAAGAGAATGGTTTATTCAAAAGTCTAGATCTTTTATCATTTAGCTTGCACCCAGTTTAGGTAATTAGATGTGTTGCCAGCATTATAGCAGTTATGCTTTCAGTTTGTATTTAGATGAATTTTTCTGCACTTCTTTAACAAATGATAGACAGTTGACCGTATTAAATAAAATTTGGCGTTTAGGCCCTCTTAACACAGATGGACAGCGGTAAGAGACAATATATTGGTGTGTCTGGGCTGATGGGTGGTTACTTGTGGCTTCTACCACTCGGCCTGCACTAGGTTATGATAGACTGACATGACCTTCAGCTGTCGGCCTATCTTGGCATGTATCCGCACATGAAGCGCTTCCTTTGGTCCTTTGTCCTACATCTGGCATGTATCCGCACATGAAGCGGCTTCCTTTGGTCCTTTGTCCCCAACATCTGACCCTAACCTCAGGCTTAATGTGCAGATACCTGCAGGCAGCTGTTGCTTCTCCTAACCTGTCATGTTTGTGTGTTGCCTTAAAGGATATGTCCCCGACATCCGACCCTAACCTCAGGTTTAATGTGCGGATACCTGCAGGCAGCTATTGCTTCTCTTAACCTGTCATGTTTGTGTGTTGCCTTAAAGGATATGTCCACTTTTGCAGTCAGAATGGAGCAACCCATTATATGTTTATGTGCTCCCATTCACACAGCATGGCTAAGAATAATAAAAACATTCGGACCTTTTGATCAGGTTTTTGCATAGGGCAGGAATGTTTAGAAAAAGCTTCAAATGTGCAGTTAGGGGACAGACGTGGGAATTTTTTTTTTTTTTTCTGTATTAACATTCAATGTGGCACCAAAGCCTTACGATCTTTATCCATTTTTTTAGAGCATTTAGTTATACAACTGATAATGAGATCTGGCAGCCCACCATAGATAGTTATTGATGGTAGACATAATCCCACAGCTCGCTCCTTAACATTACATAGAAGTTGAAAGATAAAAATGTACGTAGCAATTTTGAAATATTTCACATGTGGATAGGAACATGTAACAAATATAAAGTAGGCATTCTCCCAATTAGGCTGCAAAACTGGAAATTCACTTTTGATCATTTAGATTTATGTGACCCTTGAATAAATTGGTATTTATTTACGTTTGTTTTGTAAATTTCAGGATGTTTTGAGCAGTGACATCATCATCTTGACCATAACACGCTGCATTGCTATTCTGTACATCTACTTCCAGTTCCAGAACCTCAGGCAGCTTGGATCTAAATACATTTTAGGTGATCTATATGTCTGTATTTAAATATTATATTGAAGTCACTGCTCTTTCCTCACTTTACACTAATCTAATTAAATTTGGATATTTTTTGTTGTTGACTTATGTCTTGTTCTCATTTTAGGCATCGCTGGGCTTTTTACCATCTTCTCAAGCTTTGTTTTTAGCACAGTGGTGATTCATTTCCTAGATAAAGAGTTGACGGGTTTGAAGTAAGTGCAGAATGCCTAGAGCCAATAATACATTTTTTGTTTTTTTCTTTTTACCAGATTTGTGACCTTTATTTCTGTCTTCCTTCCAGTGAGGCTCTTCCATTTTTCCTGCTGCTCATTGATCTCTCTAAAGCCAGTGCATTAGCCAAATTTGCCCTGAGTTCAAACTCACAGGTCAGCATACATTAGATCATGCTATTTACAATGGTATTTCATTTTGTTTTTATTCCACGATTTGTCTATATTGTGGCATTGTAATTTTGTTTGTTAGGATGAAGTTCGAGAGAACATTGCTCGTGGTATGGCCATTCTGGGGCCCACCTTCACTCTGGATGCTCTTGTTGAATGTCTGGTTATTGGAGTGGGCACAATGTCAGGTGAGTGTGGTGTGTAACTTGCCCAAGGAAGAAACCTTGGTTCTTCACAAAATATATGTTGAAAGAGGTCTCATTTACATGAACATATTCTGTAGATTTGCTTTAGAGGAGTGCCTGGAATGGCAACTGTAAATTAATACAAGCCAATAGAACCTGTGGGCTTTTTCTGTTTTTGTTTTTTGTTTTTTTTTAACGCTGACTGGCCAACAGTAAGTTTACTGCTTGCCAGCAGCTTCCCCAGGCACCTCGATGTACCAGCTCTGAGCGGCCAAAATACCTTGTGATTGCTATGCGATCATGTCACTAGTATACAAAAGTATGGAATCTATTCATGACATCATTGCTTACTACTGTGTGTTAATCTATGATTGGTTACTGGTGGTCACTACTGGAACTACTCTGATGACATTATTTATAATCTCCCTCCCCCAAAAAAAAAGAAAATGGATATTTACATACTGTCACTGGTCAGTATTCCTGAGTACCACCATACCAGTCATATGATATCATATGTACTGCACTGGTGACAAAAAAAATTGTGACCAAAATACATTTAATTTCTTCATTTATCAAAAAATTGTGACTAAAAAAGTTGCAACTTCAAAAACAATTGCCATGCCTTTTACTAAATACCTTGGATTGTCTTCTTTCCAGAAAGGGGTCATTTGGGCGCTATTTGTACTTTCCTGGTGTTTTAGAGCCTTGTGAAATGATAGACAGTCAGTGCATCAGGATTGATCGATTTGATCAATTCATATACACTGCTCAAAATAAATTAAAGGAACACTTTGAAAACACATCAGATCTCAATGGGGAAAAATCTCATGCTGGATATCTATACTGATAAGGACTGGGTAATGTGTTAGGAAAGTAAGGATGCCCCATTGTTTGATGGAAATGAAAATTCTCAACCTACAAAGGCCTGAATTTACTCCAAAAATCAAATTGAAAAAATGATGCAGCAGGCTAGTCTGTTTTTGCTGAAACTTTATTGCAGCAACTCAAAATGGTACTCAGTAGTTTGTATGGCCCCCATGTGCTTGTATGCATGCCTGATAATGTCGGGGCATGCTTCTAATGAGACGACGCATGGTGTTCTGGGGTATTTCCTCCCAGACCAGGGCATCACTGAGCTCTTTGACAGTCTGAGGTTCAACCTGGCAGCGTCAGATGGACAGAAACATGATATGCCAGAGATGTTCTATAGGATTTAGGTCAGGCGAGTGTGGGGGCCATTCAATGGTATCAATTTCTTCATCTTCCAGGGACTGCCTGCATACTCTTGCCACATGAGGCCGGGCATTGTTTTGCACCAGGAGGAACTGAGGACCCAGTGCACCAGCATAGGGCCTCACAATGGGTGTAATGATTTCATCCAGATATCTAATGGCAGTCAGGGTGCCATCACCTAGCTTCTAGAGGTCTGTGTGTCCCTCCATGGATATGCCTCCCCAACCCATCACTGACCCACCACCAAAATGATCACATTGAACGATGTTACAGGCAGCATAACGTTCTCCATGGCTTCTCCAGACCCTTTCACGTCTGTCACATGTGCTCAGGGTGAACCTGCTCTCATCTGTGAAAAGCACAGGGTGCCAGTGGTGGACCTGCCAATTCTGTTGTTCAATGGCAAATGCCAATCAAGCTCTATGGTGCCGGGCAGTGAGCACAGGGCCAACTAGAGGATGTCGGGCCCTCAGGCCACCCTCGTGAAGTCTGTATCTGATTGTTTGGTGGGAGACATTCACACCAGTAAAGGTCATTCTGTAGGGCTCTGGCAGTGCTCATCCTGTTCCTCCTTGCACAAAGGAGCAAATACTAGTCCTGCTGGTGGGTTAAGGACCTTCTACGTCCCTGTCCAGCTCTCCTAGAGTAACTGCATGTCAACTGGAATCTCCAGCATGCTCTTGAGACTGTGCTTGGAGACACAGCAAACCTTCTGGCAATGTCATGTATTAATGTGCCATCCTGGAGGAGTTGGACTGCCTGTGCAACCTTTGTAGGGTCCAGGTATCTCTTCATACTACCAGTAGTGACACTGACCCTAGCCAAATGCAAAACCTAATGAAAAACATGAGTAGGGAAAAAAAATGTCAGTGGCTTTCACCTGTAAAACCATTCCTGTTTTGGGGTTCGTCTCATTGTTGCCCATCCAGTGCACCTCTTGTTAATTTGATTAACACCAAAGCAGCTCAAACTGATTAACAACCCCCTCTACTACTTAACTACCACATCAATATCCCAGGAGTTTAATGGACTTGATGCTTTACTCTGATTAAACAGTGTTCCTTTTAATTTTTTGGATAGATATATATATCCGTGATTTGTAGATTCTCTGTAGATTATCTGTATTTTATCCAATTACCTAATTGGAAATCTACACACACTGGCTGGTATAGCAATGGGGGGAAGTGAAAGAGGAGGAGATTGGTAGGGCAACAGCAGTGGAGCATTTTTCATAGCCATTAAGTAACTCTTGCCTTTTTTACTATACTAATATTTCTTCTTTAAAATACTCCGCTTTTTTTTTCCTGATTTTGAATGTTTCCCTACAGCATGATTGTACATATTATATGGATATTTTTTGTTCTTAACTCAGGTGTGCGCCAGCTGGAAATAATGTGCTGCTTTGGTTGTATGTCCGTTCTGGCAAACTACTTTGCTTTCATGACTTTCTTCCCAGCTTGTGTGTCCTTAGTCCTGGAGGTAAGTGATTTTTTTTTTTTTTTTTTATTCTCTCCCAGATATTTTCTTATTCAACAAACAGCATTTGCCTTTAGAACATATTAAATATTTAATTACCCCTGTAGATAACATATGATTTCCACCTATAAGTTATTGTGGAGTCATAATTGTCAAATATATCCCTAGCTATCCAGGGAGAGCCGTGAGGGTCGCCCCATCTGGCAGCTAAGTCAGTTTGCAAATGTGTTGGAAGAGGAGGAGGATAACAAACCAAACCCTGTCACACAGAGAGTGAAAATGATCATGGTGAGTGTCCTTTTAATTGTTTTGGCCTTTTTTATATACATCGTTATTGGTTATCTTGCTTTTCCTTTCCCCTGATTATCCTGTTTTTACTTGATTTTTCCTCACTTCCTTTTTTCATTTGTTTGTTGCTTCTCTGCTTCATAAGTTATGGTGTTCCTAGTTTTTGTTTCTTTTTAATGGTCGTTATCCAGCCATCTGCAGAATGCTGGTAATCATCCCTGCTCCCACTGTCACTCATGGTTTAGTTGCTCTGACAGTAGCGTGTATTGCTTGGTTACAGAGTACCAGTAGGGGGGGCTAGGGGGCAGGTCGTAAGTGTGATGACATAATGTGCTGCATCCAATGCCAGTTTCTGGAGTTCCTGGATGGGAATCTGTATACAGGTGCTAGAGGCTGCTACAGGCACCCCAGTGGGAGGTGTATGTATTGGTCTCCTGCTGGTTTAACTGTAAGCTCCTTATGCTTGTGCTATATTGTTTGTATTCTTCCTAACAAAACCCAGCTTTCATTGTCCTGTTACCTGAACGTAATTATTTTAGAGAGTTGCAAAAATATCCCTGTCAGTGGGTATTGTCTGTTTACCTGCTGTTGTGGAGATGTGAGAGACTGAAATCCAATATGTGCTTTACTGAGCTCTTATTATATCAGATTGTACAGCCAGCAGGACCAGGATTCACTTGAAAGAGGCACGTCATGTCTCATCATAAAGCCACCAGCTACGTCTGGCAACAAATGCTTTTTTTTTTTTTCCCCCGCCTCTGGCCTTTAGGAATAAGTTGACAGGTTTAGGTAGCCAATTTTTTTTTTTAATATTATAAACACCTTCCATCCAGATCAGATTTTGACTACATAGTATATATTTTTAAAGAAGTTTAATCTGCAAAAAACTCAGATCAATGAAAATATTTCCCTCTTATCTTGTCTTCAGTCTTTAGGCTTGGTTCTTGTTCATGCTCACAGCCGATGGATAAGTCAACCACCTTCTCAAAACAGTACATCTATTCAAGACAATAAGGTTTCCATTGGCCTGGATGACACAATTCCAAAGAGGATTGAGCCCAATATGCCTCTGTGGCAGTTCTATCTTTCTAGGTAACACAAATTATTTATTTCAGGTACTTATATATCGCCATCAATTTACGCAGCGCTTTACATATATATTGTACATTCACACCAGCCCCTAACCCTCAAGGGGCGTACAATCTAAGGTCCCTAACTTACATTCATACATACACATACTAGGGACAATTTAGACAGGAGCCAATTCACCTACCAACATGTCTTTGGAGTGTAGGAGGAAACCGGAGTACCCGGAGGAAACCCACGCAGGCACAAGGAGAACATGCACTTCAGGCAGGTGGTGCCATTGCTGGGATTCGAACCAATGACCCTACTACTGCCAGGCGGAAGTGCTAACCATTTAGCCACTGTGCTGCCCCAAATGACTCAAGTCTTAATTTTATTTAATCTTGTTTATTTGGAGTATTGCCTGCTAATAAAGACTTGTTTTTATTCCATAGAATGGTCACCATGGACATAGAGCAGGTCATAACCTTGGGCCTTGCTCTCCTCCTGGCTGTCAAGTACATATTCTTTGAGCAAACTGAAACCGAATCCACCCTTTCCCTGAAGAACCCAATTACATCTCCTGTGACCATGCAGAAGAAACCAGTGGAGGGATGCTGCAGAAAGGAACCTGTAGCAGAGAAGCCAGGAAAAGAAGTTAAAGTGGAGGATGTCTCATCATTGGAGGAAAAAGGTACCATATTTCAGGAGTCTTCACAGTAAAATCTCTGTTTAATCTTTATTCAAAGTAGCATTATGGGTTTCCTCCCAGTGAATGAATACGTTTTTTGTTTTTTGTTTTTTTTTTATCCTTCTATTTCAGAGGCTGTTATAAAGCCATTACCTCTAGAGACTATACCAGACAGACCAAACTTTCTTCTTTTGGGAGAGACACCATCACAAGACTCAAGTGAAGAGGAACACGAAAACAGTTTTGATATCCCAGAAGAGCCACGGCCCATTAATGAATGCATTTGCATCCTCAAAAGCCCAGATGTAAGTGGTTGGATAGTACTTATTGGTGCTGTTTGGAGGTTGTATGTAATTTGTCTTTACATTGGGAGACTTTATAGTTTTCTTATTAAGGCCAGCTATGATCTATAGCTTAAGCAGGCATGCTACCATGTAACGAAAGTAAATGAAACCTCTTTTATGCTCCATATAGAAAGGTGCTCGGTACCTGAGTGATGCAGAGGTGATCAGATTGGTGAACGCCAAACACATCCCAGCCTACAAACTGGAAACCATGATGGAGACTCCAGAAAGGGGAATTGCTATCCGCAGACAAATGTTATCTAAGAAACTGCCACAGTCATCTGCTCTTCAGAACTTGCCTTACAAGAACTACGACTATTCATTGGTAGGTCTCAAACCACACAATATTTTTTTTCTCTCTCTTAACTTTAAGGTTTTTTTAGTTTTTAGCACTGGAAATCTTTAAATCATTTTCTTGCAGTTGTAATTTGGTGATAGTGAAATTGTATCTGTTCTAAATGGAAAAGGATCTTATGCATTAATGCTAACTCCCTTCTTTAGGTGATGGGGGCATGTTGTGAGAATGTTATTGGATACATGCCCATTCCTGTTGGGGTAGCAGGACCTCTTATTTTGGACAACAAAGAGTATCAAGTTCCCATGGCTACAACTGAAGGCTGCCTTGTGGCCAGTACCAACAGAGGCTGCAGAGCTATACTGGTGAGTTTAACTCGATTTTTAGGTCCGTGTTTTCTAAAAAAAAAAAGGACTCTTCAGTTGGAACACAACAGAGCTCAGCATTTACCTATAGGGCAGCCTTGTGAGCTCTTTGGGGGGTCAGCTTCCAGTTGCAGGCTCTAGAACAGGGGTGTCAAACTGGCAGCCCTTCAGCTGTTGTGAAACTACAAGTCCCATCATGTCTCTACCTTTTGGGAGTCATGCTTGTAACTGTCAATCTTGCAATGCCTCATGGGACTTGTAGTTTGGCAACAGCTGGAGGGCCACCAGTTTAACACCTGTGCTCTAGAAGGAATGTTGATCTAGATAGCATGCTGATTCTAAGACTTGTTGACACCTGTGCTCTAGAAGGAATGCTGATCTAGACAGCATGCTGGATCTAAGACCTGTTGACACCTGTGCTCTAGAAGGAATGTTGATCTAGATAGCATGCTGATTCTAAGACCTGTTGCAGTGTACGTCTTACCAGAAAACTGCAGTGACATCTAATGCAGCTGAAGCAGCGGTGTTTTGGTTTCCTTTTTTGTTTTTTGCTTCTGTTTGATTTTGTTAGGGTGGCTACATGTATTCTTCATGGTCCCATTGAATGTGGGAATGTAGCCACCCTCTCTTGTTTTTCCTCCTAATATGGATTATGGGATGTGTAGTGTGCATAGAGCAGTGCACATGACTGCCAAGTCATGTTCACTGCTGGTTCCAAAGAAATGGAAGTGAGGAGGAAAAGAGAGATCACGGGATGTTACAAGGAGGCAGAAAAACACTGTAAAACAGTGTAATTAAAATAGATTGCAGGGCCAATTAGTGGTGGATGTTTAATGTGACTTTAAGCTAAACCTCTTCGAACAATTACCCCCCCCCCCCCCACTTCCTTTGCTGTGTCATGACTAGTGGAAAGAGATCAATCCATAGTACAGATGAAATTTCATAAATCATTGTGAGACCACAAATTAGTTTGTGTGACATTTTTTGTATTTGATATAGAAATCTAGTGTAGCCTGCTAAGATGCTGCATTTTCTGCTGGTATGCTTGTGTGTAGTTTGACCCACTACTGACTAGTTCCAGAATATAACCAAACTGTGTGCTCCTTTCAGCTGGGCGGAGGTGCTCGCAGCCGTATCCTGGCTGATGGAATGACTCGAGGGCCAGTGGTGAGGTTGCCAACAGCTTGTGATGCAGCTGAAGTGAAAACTTGGTTAGACAGTCCTGAGGGATTTAAAGTAGTCAAGGATGCCTTTGACAGCACAAGTCGGTAAGTGTTTATTTACCTGTAGGCTAACTTTTTCATATGTGTATAAATCTACCCCTACAAACTAACACAAAGTTGTGTGTTTGTTTTTTATTAAAACAAAAAAAAATGTGTAAATGGCTGTACTGTGAGATTACTAAGATTCCTAATTGTACAAAGTTATACAGGGCAAAATTCGAACCATGAGTGCCCCGCAAGCTGCATCTGGCTGGACAAAATTTGTTTTACAAGTTGACTAAGCTAGGTGGGAAAATATTGGCCGAACAGTGAATGCATTCTGTCAGGTGCAGTCACTGTTCAGCAGCACAATTGTATTCAAGTTGCTACAGCTGCCTGAATACAATGGAGATTCCTTAATCCATGCTACGATGGACAAATCGAGTGGATTTTTTTTTTTTTTTTTTCTTTCTTTGCCTTAGACAGGAATGACAATTTTGGACTTTCATTCAGTCTGCACGGGTCTAAATAGAGGGCCTGTCTATGTAAACAAGATATAAGGGATTCCAGTGTTTTGGAGTCAGGGTGGATATGTGTAACACAGTTGATATCTGATTAGTCATCTGCAACTATCTCACTTTCACTTTCTTTCTTTTCTGTCCTTTGCTTTTTCTCCTCTGCTGATCTTTCACTTTCATGTCTCCTAAATTCATATTCATTGAAACATCTTTGTTTTGCAGCTGTCCTGTTCTGTTCTTTAATAGCTTTTTATTTTAGCTGTTATGCTTCTAATTATGTTTTATGTTTAACATTTATATATTAAGCTCAGAAACTCAGTGTGTACATTGAGTCTGTATGATGGTTTGTGTGGTTTTCTGTCTGCTTCTAGGTTTGCCAGACTTGGGAGACTTCAAACCAGTGTAGCTGGGCGTAACCTTTACATTCGATTTCAGTCAAAAAACTGGAGATGCTATGGGAATGAACATGATATCAAAGGTAAGAGGCAATATATAGTGCTGCTTGCATTTTTTAAGCTAAAATTGGCTATATCCAGCTGTACATTTTTTTAATGGCAACCTATATTCCTTGTTTAAAATAACTTCAGCAGAACTTAGTTTACAATTTAACACTAAATATTGTTGGAACTTTTTCATTCTATAGGAATTATAGTTCAGGCTTTCTAAACACTTTTTGTGTCTTTTTAAACTATTTATTACCACAGGGAACTGAAAAGGCTCTGTCTAGATTGCAAGAAGAGTTCCCTGAGCTGCATGTCCTTGCTGTAAGTGGCAACTTCTGTACAGACAAGAAGCCAGCTGCCATCAACTGGGTGGAGGGGAGAGGAAAGTCTGTGGTGTGTGAAGCTATCATTCCAGCGAATGTTGTGCGAGAGGTGAGAACAAGGTCTTGCATTATCCTACTTATTAGGTGTAAGGATTTCTATTTGATTTAAGATGAGACTAAACAATGGGTTGGCAGTTTTTTATTTAGTTTTTTTTTTTTGCGTGTTGTATAAAAATCTATACTGAAAAAAGACCCCACTGTACAACTTGCAGGTGTAAGAAGATGATTGTCTTTGCATTGCTAATCTACTTGATCTAATAATGCTTAAAGCGGAGTTCCACCCAACTTTTTGGGGGGTGTTTACCTGGTTTTGACAGGTACACCTGTCAAAACCAGGTAACAACCCCCCCAAAAAAGTTGCCAAATGTGGCACCAAAGCTTTGCTGCTTTATGGGGGCGGGGGGGTTGGACCCTTGAACCTCTGGCTCAGTTCCCTGCAGCGGACTGACACCTCCTTGTCAGTCCACTGCAGCAAACTAAGCCAGAGGTTTGAAGGGCCGGAACTCTTCTTCTTTTAATCCACTGTGATGACTTGTTTCCAGTACACACTCTCATATGTACTTGTATCTGCAGGTACTGAAAACATCAACCGCTGCACTGGTGGAAGTCAACATCAACAAGAATCTGGTTGGCTCTGCCATGGCTGGCAGCATTGGAGGTTACAACGCACATGCAGCTAACATTGTGACTGCAATATACATAGCTTGTGGACAGGTAAGGGGAAACATAGATACTTTACAATTACTTTTTTTATGAAAATTGAATTAGAATCTGATGGTGGGTTTTTTTTTTTTTTCCCTTTTTGTAGGATGCCGCTCAGAATGTAGGGAGCTCCAACTGCATCACTCTAATGGAGCCTGCAGGCCCTACTAATGAGGATTTATACATCACCTGCACAATGCCTTCTATAGAAATTGGAACTGTTGGAGGTGGAACTACTCTGGCCCCCCAGCAGGCTTGCTTACAGGTAATATAAAAAATGTTATGCGGTCATCGTTTCAGTAAATTTTGTAGCATTGCAAATAGGGATTTCTTGGCACACCGTTGTACCATTTGTTGTCCTCAATTGGCTCAGCCTGTACATTCATTAGAAACATTTTCTGGAACTATGAATTAATATTTCTTTTGATCATGTTTTATAGTTACTGAGTTCAACTTGTATATGAATTGTCATTACATATGTGGGTTTTTTTGTTTTTTTTATGAATAGATGCTTGGAGTACAGGGCGCAAGCACAGAGTATCCTGGTAAAAATGCATGCCAGCTTGCACAAATCGTCTGTGGCACAGTAATGGCAGGAGAACTTTCCCTAATGGCAGCTTTGGCAGCTGGGCATTTGGTGAAGAGCCATATGGTCCACAACAGGTAATGCAACTTTTAATAAGACTGAATACCACCTGCCTGTCTTAAAGAGATTCTGGCATGTTGCTTATTTCAGATAGTTTTTCATTAAAAATGAACCCCTACCCTTGCATGGTTGAAATCAAAACCCTTTTCAAGATCGGTGTTAAAGCTTACATAGGGTTAGTAAAAGTATTTGGGCCTGGGGAGTGGCTGCTCGGGCCCAAGGTTTGCATTATTAGAGTAGGTGACTTTCTCGCCCATCGTCTGTTATACTGGGACAGGTGAAGAATATGAATTTCTGATTTGTGTATTTATTTAGTAAATTACGGTTTGTAATAAAGGAGTATTTTTAAACATGAAATCTTTTGACTGTATATTAGTAAGACCATCTATATGAGTCTGTAATATGGTGGCTGCTTTAATCAGGGTATCTATGCCCTGGATTAATTTGTTTGCACATGCTTGCCCATACCTGAAAGCCCTTTTCACACGAGTGGACTGATGAGGTCTGCCTGTCCGTTTTTCAAGCGGATGCGATCGGTCCATCCATAGACTTCTATGGACCGGTGGGTGTCTGTGTACAATAGTCCGCTGACACCTGCTGGCATCCCGTCCAATCCTGTTTGCCAAAAACAGACGTTCCCCATCTGTCCAGCGGATCGGATGACAATCTGGTGGGAACAGACAGGCAGTCTGTTTCCATCCAACTGTCCCATTGAAACCAGCAGGCGCATCATCTGCCCACTCTGCAGAAGCCTTGATAGTCCCTGATGGCTTCAACAGATTTACCTTCTGTCTGAATTTGTGAACTGCTACATATCCAAAGACTCTTTTGATTTCCTTTTAACAAATACACATTTTTTTCTTTTCCTTTCTTGCAGGTCAAAAATAAACCTTCAGGATTTGGCAGGCACATGCATAAAAAAAGCTGCCTGAGCACAAATGTTGGTTTGAACACAGGACCATAAGAGAGACAGGAAAATAAAACGGAAACTTCTCTATAGGGAATGTGCTTTGTCACGAGTGGGAAGGGACGGTATGCAGGCAACCTGAAAGGAAGACTTATTACAGCCTCAACACAAGTCTATGTGCCTCATGTCTAGTTTGTCTCACGGGGTCCAGTTATCGGTGCTGGCCCAGATGATTTGTCTGCTGCTGAGGCCAAAACGCCAAAAAAACTGAACTTGGACATTTTTACTTTTTTTTTTTTTTTTTTTTTTTTTTTTTTACACAGCTTGCATAAAACCTTTACATTTGCAAGCTATTTTGCATTTACATTTAAAGAATGGTTATTTTTATTTTATTTAATAATATTTGGAAAATTGTAATATACCTCGGTTTTAGTTGATAAAAAGGAATAATTTATTTCTTCTTCGTCCGGCTTCTCTCTTTTTTTTTTTTTTTTTTTTTTTTTTTTTTTTTTTTTTTTTTTTTCTTTTTTTTTTTTAAAGGCCACAGCAGTTTAAAAAGAATATTTCATGTTTTCTGAAATTACTTCCAGAGCAGAGGTGGTCAACCTATGACTTGCCAGCTGTTCTCTAAGCCCAATAATTCTATTTTGAACTCGGCGTGTCTTTATGTTTCTATTTTGTGGACATTGGGTCCTCAAATTTTTTCGCTTATGTTGTGATAATCTCACTTCCATTGTGTTCCTGTTTGTGCCACAGACTCTGTTTTGAGTTTTCTTTGCTCACAGCATCCTCTGCTTAAGTGTCTTTGCTTTGCTTTGACACTAAGATTAGTCAGAGAAAGGTAAAATCTGGGATTCAGAAGTGCTGCAAACATACAGCACTTCTTTTAACCCTACAGGCATATAGATGTGAGTGAAGTTATCACCCAAAACTTGCTTTATCCAACGGTGTACTGTTTGGGTGACTTTTCCTTTTAAGTCTGCTGAAAGGCAGAAGTATCTGAATAATGCCCTACAGCTATGAAATTTTATTTGTTTCAAAAATGTAAATTTTGACTCCGCTATGCTTTCAAAAGCTACTCGATTAGGAAAAAAAAAAGTTGAAAGTGTGGTGTTCTGGTGCTGGTGGCCAAAGTTCTTTTGGTGGTCAATCACTACCTCATTCAGAATAGCTGTGACCATCCAATGCCAAACAAGCAATGACATCACAGCCTAACCACACCTCATGGGCGTGGAACACCAAGCCCAGAGTAGGCTAGTTTGAGACTCCATAAATTTTATATGGCTGTCTACACTGTATTTCAAGATTTTGTACTTTTTGTAACTTTTATTTTTCCTTTTTGTATCATATTATTTTCTGTTTAATACTTGATATTCATCAGAGGTATTAAGTTGGTTCAAAAAAGCATCTGTCAACCTGGAAGCAATGTGTTAACTACAGAAAGTGGTGCCTGTGTCACTTTTTTTGCACTGGTAAAGAGCTGACATCGTGATGAATAAAGCATCTGTTTCCGTTTTCCCAATCTGGTATTTATTGGAATATAAACTGAAAGGGTCACTTTTTTTTTTTTTTTCTTGTATTTTCAAACTTAAGCTATCTTTAAGTTGCTGGAATAAATGTACCTATTTTTTTAAACGTCCTGTTTCTTTTGGTGCCTGTTTCGTTCTTCCCAAAATTACCTAGGGTGGTTGTGTAAGGAGTACAGGGAACACTACAAAGATAATTTCTTTAAAATAGCTAGATGTTTATCTTTTTTTATTTCTCCTAAAGCTGAACATCAGGCAGCTGAAGGCAGTAATTAAATAAATTCTTACTAAATGTGTTTTTAAATGCAGCTAGTTTACAGTGCATTTCCAACTTTGCAATCACATTTAGGAAACACTCACTAAATGTCTGTTTCATGGCATACCTAAAATTAAAAAATATATTGCTTACTTTTTTTAGCTATTTTTTTGGAGCGGGGTTTAAACATAAGTCAATATCTGCAGCTTCTATTGCTCCACATAGATGGCAATATACAGATAAGGGAGAGACTTGTGTATAAGAGTGTATTCAGACACAATATACTACCCAGGTCTTGAGATCTTTTTTCATTTTTGAATGGTGACACGAAATGCAAATAACCATCTGACAATATCAATAAACAATGGGCAATGCCACAATGGTCGAGGCACACAATCAGTAGGGTATGTTTCAACAAATGCATTCAGTCAACATATAGGATGACTTCTGACAGTGCCTTGAAAAAGTATTTATACCCCTTGAAATTTTCCACATTTTGTTATGTTAAAACCAAAACCGGAAATGTATTGGGATTTTATGTGATAGACCAACACAAAGTGGCACATAATTGTGAAGTTGAAGGAAAATGATAAATAGTTGTCAAACTTTTTTACAAATAAATATTGAAAAGTGGAGTGCATTTGTATTCGGCCCCCTTTACTCTGATTATCCCCATCTACAATCTAGTGGAACCAATCAATTTCAGAAGTCATTTAATTAGTAAATAGAGCCCACCTGTGTGTAATTTAATCTCCGATAAATACTGCTGTTCTGTGAAGCCCTCAGAGGTTTGTTAGAGAACATTAGTGAACAAACAGCATCATGAAGGCCAAGGAACACACCAGACAGGTCAGTGATACAGTTGTGGAGAAGTTTAACCACTTCCTGTCCGGACACTTTTACCCCCTTCCTGTCCTGGCCAATTTTCAGCTTTCGGCGCTCTCGCATTGTGAATGACAATTACTCAGGCATACAACACTGTATCTAAATGAAATTATCATTTTTTTCAAACAAATAGAGCTTTAATTTGGTGGTATTTAATCATCACTGGGGTTTTTATTTTTTGCTAGAAAAATGAAAAAAGACTGAAAATTTTGAAAAAAAAACATGTTTTTCTTAGTATTTGATACTAAATTTTGCAAATAAATATACTTTCTTCATAAATTTAGGCCAAAATCCATTGTGCTACATTTTGTTGGTAGACATAACCCAAATCAGTGTGTATTATTTAGTCTTTGTGAAAGTTATAGAGTCCACAGACCACGGTGTATATATATTTGATATATTTGAAAATGTATCAATCCTGATGCACGGACTACCTATATAATTTCTTGGGGCCCTAAAATGCCAGGACAGTACAAATACCCCCCAAACGACCCCTTTTTGGAAAGTAGACAGTCTGAGGTATTTAATGAGAGGCATGGGGAGTTTTTTGAAGTTGTCATTTTTTGCCAATTTTTTAAGGAAATGATGAAAGTAAAAAAAATTCTTTTTTTTTTTTTTCCACAAAGTTGTCATTTAACAAGTTCTTTCTCTCACACGGCATAGGCATACATGCAATTACACCCCAAAACACATTCTGCTACTCATCCTGAGTATGGCGATACCACATGTGTAAAACTTTTTCACAGCCTAACCACATAGAAGGGCCCCACATCCAATAAGCACCCTTAGGCGTTCTAGGGGCAAAAATTACACATCTAATTTCTTGACTGTCTATCACAGTTTTGGAGGTCCTGGAGCTCCAGGACAATTGAATTACCCACAAAATGACCCCATTTTTGAAAGAAAACACCTCAAGGTATGTTTTAAGAGGCATGGGGAGTCCTCTGAAGACTTCATTTTTTGCCACATGTTTTTGGAAAATGTGAAAAGAAAATGAAAATGTATTTTTTTTTTTTACGCAAAGTTGTCAATCTATGAGATATTTCTATTACACAGCATAGGCATACTTAAAATGATAGCTCAAAACGCATTCTTTAACTCCTGCTGAATATGGCGATACCAAATGTGTGAGACTTTTTCACAGTCTGGCCACATAGAGGGGTTCCACATCCAATAAGCACCTGTTAGCGTTCTAAGGGCAAAAATTACACATCTAATTTCTTGACTACCTATTGCCGTTTTGGAGGTCCTGGAGCATCAGGGCAATGGAATTATCCACAAAATGACCCCATTTTGGAAAGCAAACACCCCAAGGTATGTTTTAAGAGGCATGCAGAGTCTTCTGAAGACTTCATTTTTTGCCACAAGTTTTTGGAAAATGCCAAAAGAAAATGAAAATGTATTTTTTTCTACACAAAGTTGTCAATCTATGAGTTATTTCTAATACACTGCATAGGCATACTTAAAATTACACCCCAAAACACAGTCTCTAACTCTTCCTGAATATGGTGATACCAAATGTGTGAGACTTTTTCACAGTCTGGCCACATAGAGGGGTTCCACATCCAATAAGCACCTGTTAGCGTTCTAAGGGCAAAGATCGCACATCTAATTTCTTAACTACCTATTGCTGTTTTGGAGGTCCTGGAGCATCAGGACAATGGAATTATCCACAAAAAGACCCCATTTTGGAAAGCAAACACCCCAAGGTATGTTTTAAGTTCTCCGTCACTTTCATCTGTCATACTCAGAATTTGAAATGCCTCCTCGCTTATATATGATCTTTTGGCCATATTTTTGACACTGATCAGGACCCACTGGTATGGCAGTGATCAGGATGGTGTTGCAGTGAGGGACAGATATCTGGCTGCAGTTAGTTCACACTAGTCACTGTTGGGCAAAAATCAGAGATACAGTGAGGTGGCTGGCAATGTTTTGTGAGTGTGTGTAAACTCTGTGCAAAGGCTGAAAATTACTCACAGTTAGCTGTACTGGATCTCTCTCCTCACAGACGATGGCAGTGAACAGGATCCACTGGTGTGGCAGAGATCAGGGACACTTTATGAACAGGCACACTGTAAGGTGATCAGGGACACTGATTGGGCCACTGTATGGTGATCAGGGACACTGCTGGGCCACTGCGGTGATCAGGGACACTGCTGGGCCACTTGTGTGGCAATCAGGGACACTGTGGCGATCAGGGACACTGCTGGACCACTTGTGGGGCGACCATGGACACTGCTGGGCCACTGCGATGATCAGGACACTGCTGGGCCACTTGTGTGGCGATCAGAAACACTGCTGGGCAACTGCAGTGATCAGGGGCACTGCTGGACCACTTGTCCGGCGATCAGGGAC